TACGACTACTACGACTACTACGACTACTACGACTACTACGACTACTACGACTACTACGACTACTACTACTACTACTACTACTCCTACTCCTACTACTACTCGTACTACTCGTACTACTCTACTACTACTCGTACTACTCGTACTACTTTTACTACTAGTACTGCTAGTACTACTAGTACTACTACTACTACTACGACTACTACGACTACTACGACTACTACGACTACTACGACTACTACTACTACTACTACTACTACTACTACTACTAGTACGAGTACGACTACTACTACTACTACTACTACTACTTTCGAGACCAGAACCATGCCAATAATTGACATGGCCGCGCGGATTCCGCGCGCGCGGAATCCGCGCGCGGAATCCGCGCAGATGTTTTCAGGTCAGAAGGACATTCAAGCTAGCTCCAATTGAAAACAGGTCAGAAACAGGTCAGAAACAGGTCAGAAACAGGTCAGAAACACCAAAAAGGCAGCACTTGCCTAGCATCCCATCCATCCATCCATCCATCCATCCATCCTCAGCTCTTATCATTGCTACTAATACTACTACTACTACTACTACTACTGCTACTACTACTACTGCTACTACTACTGCTACTACTGCTACTACTACTACTACTACTCCTACTACTACTCCTACTCCTACTCCTACTACTCCTACTCCTACTCCTACTCCAAACGCAACCTCTCTCTCTCTCTCCCTTGCCTATTCCCTCACCCTCCTACCAGAACTCCTACGCCTACTCCTATTCCAATTTCCACTACCACTACTGCTAGTGCTACTGCTACTGCTAGTGCACTGTGAGTTTTCCGGACCGTTTCCGGACCGCACACGCTTATTTTGCTCCCAAATTTGAAATTGAATGCGTTCACGCATGGATCCTTACTCTCATTACTAGATTTGCTACTACCCCCAGCACTACCACCACACCCGCTGCTACTGCACCACCCTGCACCACCACTACCACCACTACCACTAGTACACCTAGGAATTTCTGCTCTTGCTTTTAAATCCAATTGCACTCGTGCGAAGGGTCAGAAACCAGTCAGAAACCAGTCAGAAACCAGTCAGAAACCCGTCAGAAACCGGCCAAACGCAATCTCTCTCTCTCTCTCCCTTGCCTATTCCCTCACCCTCCCATCAGAACTCCTACGCCTACTCCTATTGCAATTTCCACTACCACTACTGCTAGTGCTACTGCTACTGCTAGTCCTGCTGGTACTACTGTGAGTTTTCCGGACCGTTTCCGGACCGCGCAAGCTTATTTTGCTTCCAAATTTGAAATCGAATGCGTTCACGCATGGATCCTTACTCCCACTACTAGATTTGCTACTACTCTTAGTACTACCACCACACCCGCTGCTACTGCACCACCACTACCACTAGTACACCTAGGAATTTCTGCTCTTGCTTTTAAATCCAATTGACACGAGTTCCGCTGAAGGGTCAGAAACCAGTCAGAAACCCGTCAGAAACCGGTCAAACGCAACCATCTGTTTCCCCCTCCCTCCCTCTCTCTTTCTCTTTCTCTCTTTCCCTCCCTCTCCCTTTCTTCCCTTGCCCTGCTACTAGAACTCCTTCTCCTATTCCTACTCCTACTCCTACTCCTACTCTTACCCCTCCTACTACTACTACTACTACTCTACTACTACTACTACTACTACTACTACGACTAGTACTACTAGTACTACTAGTACTACTAGTACTACTAGTACTACTAGTACTACTAGTACTACTAGTACTACTGCTGCTGGTACTACTGTGAGTTTTCCGGACCGTTTCCGGACCGCGCGAGCTTATTTTGTTCCCAAATTTGAAATCGAATGCGTTCAGGCATGGATCCTCATTATATAATACATAACTTATATTTTATGTATATGATCTGATCAACGAAGAACAAACCCTTCCGCGATTGCTCACTGTGGTACCGCGGTTGCTACGCGATTGGCTGAGCGATTGAGGGCTGTCCGGGAAAAGGTATTTTGGACAACCTCCATATATATATATATATGCTTCCTTTATATATATATATAGATAAATAAATAAATATATATATATATATATGTTGTATATATATATATATGTATGTATACACACACATATATATATATATATAATATACACAGTTGAATGTGTATGTATATAAAAGTCTATACATCCAAGGTCATATATGGCATCAGCCCGGCCAGGACGGAGTTCGTCACTTGCTGGCCCTCCGGGAGGACAGCGAGGCCCGGCGGCAAGCACCTGATGCCTCTGGATGCTTGGTTTTAAGCGTGGGACCATTGCTTATTTTAATGGGGTTTCATAGGGTTTAATGGGAACCTCAATGGATTTTATTTTTATATATATATATATAAATATATATATATACAATAGTCAATATATATTTGTTTTATATGTGTATATAGACTGTATTGTGAATCTAGTGGGAATATAATGGAAAATAATGTGAATATGATGTTTACCTTTTGGTAAACAAACGTTGCAAGTGAAGATCCCCGAACTAAATGGAAATTTAATGAGAAAATCATCGAACTAAATGATGGAATTATGCAGATTTTCAATTGCCACGCTTGATTACCGGAGGATATATTTCAGAATAGCGGCAGTTCATGGACTTGGATAATTGGGATCGCCTTCTTGTAAACATGGCAGCCATGGCAATAGACAACTCTCCAAAACTGAAATGAGTTTCCCTGCTATAAAACTACATGTTCGGATCATTTCGGAACTTTTTTTCGATCTCTCAAGCAAAAAATCACTGCCAAAATCGGGGAGAAGGAAAATCAATCATCGCTATCCAGATCATGGACCCCACGGCTTGAAGTTACTTGAGCTTGAACACCCACACACATTATATATATACACAATTATATCTGTCTATTTATTCTGCATTATATGTTTGATTATATATATATATATACTTTTGTATAGTTACATATATGTTTAACATGTAATGTATTTGTTTAATTCATGATGTATTTGCATGTCACCGAGGATTCAAACACAGACGGTGAACAGAAAATCGAACTGTTGCTGTTGACGAGTAGCGCCAAAAATGTGAGATTTTTTGTTCAAACCAAAAGGAACTAGGCCGATTCAGTAATTGCTGAACATCCAATACCCTCTGGTAAACTAACATAGCTATTGGAAATCACCATTCTTAATGGGAAAATCCACTACAAATGGCCATTTTCAATAGCTATGTTTGTTTACCAGAGGGTACCACTGAAGGTGACAGAACTCACATCAGTGGTGTGGACATGACCACTTTTTCGCGATGCCAAGAGCCTCGCAGACCCTCATTGATCAAGCTCTAAAAATCGGAATTACCCCAAAAGTCTTACTACATTGTTTTGAGGGTCTACTTGTAGGCTAATCCTAATTCGATGGATATTTTTTTACTGGTGAGTAATTGGGGGATTTTCAATAGCTATCTATAAATAAATGATATAACCGATATAACCCTAGCAATCAGGGATTAAGTATGAAACATTTTGAAACCAGGGTCACCAAGCAGTTGGGATGATCCTCCAATAATTTCTGGGACATTTTCCCAGTGAAGGCCTTGTCTCAGCTCATCGTCCAATCCATTGACTCAGTCATCCCATTTTCCATCCATTTTCCCATCTCAAAATCATCAAGATTTCATCAATCAGTCCTAAGTGGAAACCCATCATATTTGATAGAAAATATTCGATATCATAATTTCTTACTTCAACATGGTCCCTAAAACCATATTCCTCCACCTATCTACCCTCAATTTCACCACCACAGGACCACATTTTATGGGTCCCATGGCCCATCCTGTCCGTCATCGTCAGGAAAAACTCCGGAAATGAATAGTCCCAGCTCCACCTGTGCGGGCGAAGGGCCGGAGCCTTCGGTCGCTTGGTGTCGGTGTCATCCCATCCCATGGCATCCCTCGAAGGGGACGAGTTTTCCATGGTGACTGGCCATGGGTATGGCCAGTGGTATGGCAGAAATATGATGTGACTTGGAGATGAACCAATCATGATCTTAGTATATCTGAGTCATCTTCAGTTTTGGGAGTCTAGGACCTGAAATCGTTCACATCGTGATGAACCCAAGAAAAACCAGGTGATTAGAAGTGAGAACTTCTGGAACCAAGTCTTGTAAAATGGTGGGAATTTGGGTAATATCTTGAGCCATGCCCTGCGATGCCAGTGATGATCTTGCTGATGGAGGGTTGGGATAATCCAAACAAATCCAATTTCCAGAGTTCGTTAGTTCAATGTGCTCTACCCGTTAAAGGCATCCAAAGACATGGGAACTTTTTGTAGGATCCCCTATGATCCAAAGCCAAGAAGTGGCTCATTGGCTGCTGGTTTTTCAATTAATTAAATTTGTTATTGTCCATCCTGATGATCCTGATGACCCCATTGGCATATTCTTGTGATGGCTCAACCTCCAAACCAGTTCGCTGGGCAAACCTGAGTGCTTGTGGGTTTTAGTCTTGTATTCTGAAATGTTTTCTAAATGGGGCAGTATAGCTGTAGGGATACACTGAGTCACAAGAAAGATTATTATTAAAATGGAAGTCTTATTGCGACAATGTTCTAGAAATTGGGTTTTTCCAGTGCTATGTTTGATTACCGGAGGGTACTAAAAGTATCTAAAAGTCAAATACAACATGGACAGTAGCCCAGCAGCCCACACGAAAGATACCTCCTACTTCTACCTGGTAATTCAATACGTAGCTATGGAATTCATCGCTGATGTTTATCATCGAACTCAATGGACTGGCTTCCATAGTAAACTGTGAAATAACCAGAGTCATAGAATTGGATGATGGGAAAATTTTAACCGGAAGCCCCTATTAATTTTATGGTAAAAACCATGGTTTCCGGTTAAGATTTTCCGTGAAAACCAATCCATTGACAGAGGGTATACTTTCTTACCAGGTTAGAAAGACAGGCACAGGCTATGACAGGCTGATGTCAAGAACTGCCTGATGGAATTGGCAGAAGAAAATATATTGATTGCTACGCCCATGGAAAATCCTTGCTAAAGATAATGTTACATAACTGCTCGCAGTTGGGGCGACAAAAATGACAGTCACGTAGCTGCCTGCTGCCTGCTTATATATATATACTTTCCGAGGAGTGTTCAATGTCACAAAAATCGAGTACCTCGATGCTGATGAGCTTTCCCGAGTCTTGGAATTGATGATTTGGGTGATTTATACACCTTGGTGTCATCAAACATGGCTAGCTGGGAGATTTCCGACAATAAATGGCGGTTTCTAGCTGGGAAAATCTTCTACAAATGGCGGATTTTCCGGCAAGCCATGATGGTCTCATCGCCGAGCTACTGTAGATGGGTTCGTTTGAAACTAGGGGAGCAATCGATTTTCAGCCGAACCCGGGTGATGGTTGGTAGCGGGGAGTGTCCCCAAATGACCTGTCATTTGATTTCAGTTTGTGAATTAAGATATATTGATGAGCATCCAGCCAGATTTGCTCATCAGCAATGTTTTTGCGATTTGTCCGAGTCGCACCCCCTCTGAGAATTAACATGTAAGCAAACAAGCATGTAGCCCCAGAAAGCCTGTTGGAGAGTACTGGACACGGTTTGTTTGAAAATGAGTATACCCCAAAAATTCAACTAGATGGTCATACAGCCATACATTATCATACATTAAACTATATAAAACTGATGTAAATGGCGCAATTTTGTGGTATCAACACCCCATCAAGATGGGCATTGCGCCGTCATGTCGCCGTGATGAAAGTGCCGAGTGCCAGAAGATGACCCCCCGTGGTTTTTTGGGCGGAAGATCCCTATATTCTTCTTTGGATTGACGTCGTAAAAAAGGCCTTTTGATGTATGAACATGTCGAATTTCTTGAAACATACTTTATTGATCTTTATTGGGTAAAGGTGACATTATTATTACTGCAATTAAATCCCACTGTCATATGATATGCACATATGAATCATAGCCAATGTCATTTACTTCAAAGTGAGAGTCTGATCATATTTGATTTCTATGCGTACCTGGAACTCCAAGTACCAAAATATGTGGGAAACATCATTTCTGCCATCCTGGAAACACCTTTCGGCATCTTTTTTGGGCGCTGGTATATTCTATCTCTACCTGGAATTTCAGGGCGTGCCAAAGGATTTTTGTTGGGGCCCGAGCATGACCCGGTGAACATCCCAACATCCCACCCACAAGTGGCCAGTGGCAGCATCGCCAATCTACCACCAGGAAATCACCGAACTTGGGCATTTATCTCCGGTAATTTCTGGCCATGTGAAAAATCCATGGCCCATTTAGTTCGTTCAGAATTCGCGTGTTTTTTTTTCAGATGGTCATTTTCCAGCAAACAGTTGAGTTAAAAATGAGGGCAAAGGGGAAAATCCTGGAACATGACCCATGAATTTGGGATTTTCCATGGCCATGTTTGCCATTTTGGCTACCAGGTTTCAATATGTTTCAATATGGGATTTGACACCTGACAGGGGCAACATACCTGAAATGAGGTTGGTGGTTTTGAACTGTTTTGAAGTTTTCTTTCCTAACCATTAAACCATATTTGACATGATATGACATGATTAGAAACATGATATTGATTGATGTCATGTGTTTTGCTTTCAACTGGGTCAAAACCGCCAATCATGGAAAATCCATGAAAATTGAACTGGTACTATTATCTTTATGCGGGAAAACAAAGACAACAAAGACAACAAAGACAACAAAACGCAGTTCTTCCCCGAAGTCACCCATTGTCCAATCAGAGATCAGTTAATTCACTTCTTTAATTCAACCAAAATCAGACAAATCAGTTGTCGGACCAACCTGTGTCCAATGAGTTTTTGGTGACTCACAGAGATCTTTTTCAGGAGTTGGTTCAGATGACCCTTTGCGTCGACACCTCGACACACTGGCCGCGAAGCCGGATTGAGACATGGGGACAGGGCAAATGAAGGGTTATGGTATGTTAGACTGTTAGATCAGATTCACTGTAAATAATATTGATTATAACGGTATAGTAACCCCCCCAAAAACGATAGAAACATAATTTATCATAATTTTTAGGTAGGACTTTACTCCTTTTTTTTTGTTGGTTGCTGTAAAAAATAATCATCATGGGGATAATTAGTGGGCACAGATTGGATTGATTCATCACAATCCTGTGGGTGTTGCCTTAAGTGAGATATCCTAGACATGAGGATATAGAATTAAACAGTGGGGAGAGATGAGACATATATCATACCCTCTGGTAAACTAACATAGCTATGGAAAATCACCATTTTTAATGGGTAAATCCACAATAAATTGCAATTTTCAATAGCTATGTTAGTTTACCAGAGGGTATTATATCCTGCTTGAAGTCTGTACGCAGAAACAGGGTATGTTGGATTTTTCATGGAGATTTCATGTTATAGAAACGCAGATTTATTGGATTGGCCGAAGGATGTCAAAGGGCAAATTTACAGGAAACGACTCGTGCTTTCTCAGTGATCATGAGGGTTTCCTGGAAGCGTTTCCTGCACCCAATTCTGGGAAACATTGGGGTTTGCCCGGAAATACAGGTTGCAATATATGCCCGAGAAAAGCGAAACAAACACAATTCATCATTAAACAATGGTAAACACATATTTGACACCAGTTGGATTTTGGGGTGTCTCCTGTGACACAGAACATACACGGAACCAGATATGTATATATATATATATATATCATATTCATAATTCTAGGATATCGATATCAATGGCTTCCATATAGTTCCATGCATTTTCATATTGGATTCATGTGTTTTATGTTTACTCAGTTTGTGTCGTTTCTTGTATGCCAACACAGCTTGAACCATTATTACAAACACTCTTCGTTCATCCCAGGCATCCTAAGAGCGGTGATCTATGGGCGCTTTAAGCGAGCTAAGCCCAAGATAGCCCAAGTGCCTGGTGATTCTACTTTTTTTGGTTCAAAAGATTGATTTTTTCACAGGCATTTTGTTAGCCAAAGTTCCAACACGGTCCGAACGGTGTATGTTTGGAAGACGATGGCTCCAGCACATCTCCAGCACTAAGGTTTGATATCGAACAGGTGCCGCCGGGATCGGCGAGGTAGCGATGTGAACAACCCTTTAAACTGGTGGTGTCATTTTCACACTTGCCATTCTACTCCCAAGTTTTAATTAATTGTAAGAAATAATGCGACATGTATTATGTGCGGTATTATGTGTATGTTCATGGAAGTTTTACCTCCTGGTAAAGTAAAATAGACCCTGAAAATGACCCATGTTTGGTGGAAATTAATCTTCCACCCCCTAATACTGTATTTGATAGGGTCTATGTCAATTTACCAGAGGGTATAGTATATGCAGGGATTAGGACCCATGACTCTTATCATCTCATACATCTCTTTGTCTATAAATACATATATATATATATGTATATATATATATATCTATATGTATATATATATATATATGGATCTAACAACCTCTGATGGTCAAACATGGTATAGTATATTTTGCCAGATGAATTTCCGATGAAAAAAAAACATTGAAGCTGATTTTCCCGAAATCGCCATGTTTGACTACCAGAGTGCACATATGTTGCAAAAATCCACCAGGCGTGGGTTTATCCAGTTCTGTTTCGAGGGTGCACACCTTCCTTTTCGGGAAAAACATGGGGGCGTTGTAACAAACCATGTGGTGGGATATGTCTGTGAGTCAAAACTTAGGGACACTATGTAGCCTGGGTACCTTAAAATAGCTGGTGAGGGGATGTTTATTCCCCCAAATATGATGGTAACAGTGGGTTTTGGCCCATTCCCATATTATGACTGGGATGATAATTATTTGGGAGAATGATGATGATGTTTTGGGATTGCAGTATAGGATTCACATTGGTGTAATAAACCACCCCCCAGTTATCAACCCTTTGGGAGCTATTAGATATTCCAAACAAGGGCATGCCCAAATTCATGATCCATTTTTTGGTGATGGATCGCACATTAGACAATGAGTCGTTAATCCCAGGGGCTGCTATTTGGATCTAAGTCACTACATGTTGGTTGATTTTTTCCCGCAGTTCTTCAGGACAGGTTCCTGGAAACATTACCAAAACATATTCAGGACACATTCTTCAAACTCACTTTGGTAAGACATGTATTTATAAGCCACCAATGCCGCAGGCTGTGGTCTCAACCCCTGTGCAGTTTTTTTGTTGTGAGGGTTCCCCTTCCAAGCAGGTTTTTCCTTGCTTCTTGTTTGTGGAACTTGTTGTAGGACTGCAAGTTTCTGGCCCATGTATATATGTTTGAAGTAGGTATTGTTATATTTTATGAACAAGTTCATTTCCTAAAAAATCTAGCATATTTTCTTATCTAATAGGGGCCTATCCGTATATACATATGTATATATGTATATATGTATGTATGTATATATATATATATGTATATATATATATGTATGTATTTATATATATATATGTATTTATATATATATATATGTATTTATCTGATATGTGTGTATAACAGGTGCGTGAACCAACCGCTGGTTGTTTTTACAGCGATTTCTCGCCAGCCATTGTTTGTCACCAGCCAGGCACATTTGAGCTTCGTGAGGCTTGTGGGGTGCAGAGAAGCAGCGGGTTTTGGAGAGAAACAAATCCCATAGGAAACTATAGGAAAATGGTGTTGTATCCAACAAGAAATTGTGATTTAATTGATGGATTTATGCTGATTCTTGGAGAGGAGTTGAACATGATTGACAAAAGGTAGGGGAAAAAACATGGAAAAAGCAAGTGAACCCCACTAAATGTGACACAGAGAGAGAGAGAGAAAGAGAGAGAGAGAGAGAGATAGAGAGAGAGAGATATATATATATATATATATATTGGATATAAACCGGATAACCTTAAATTAAATTGCAAAGTGGAGTCCACGTTTACGATAGCTAAGTTGGGTGAACGTTTACCTAGGTGAAGGTTTAGGCATTTCTTGTCCTTTTGTGGCTTGTTTTATCCACATTGCATCCAACATTCCATGTTTCTGGCAACGCCGTTTTAAGTTTAAGGATATTTGGCTTTTGGTGTATGTATACATGTATGTCCCATATTTATCCTCATTTCTTATGACATAGTATATGGTTTCTTTGGGGTTACAATGCGTTCGCATTGCCGAAGATTGCGAGTGCCACGCCGGGCTCAGTGTTGTAAACCCTATTAACTATAATTATAGTCCTCTTAAACTAGTTAATCAGGTTATATATTAAAGAAACAACAACAACAGCAACAACAACAACAACAACAGCAGCAACAACAACAACAGCAACAGCAACAGCAACAACAACAACAACAACAACTTAGCTAGTGTTTGGGGGCCCTACCTTATAGACTTTGCCTGTTCTCAGCTCCAAAAAGGCATAAACAATCCCCAATGTTCCTATGGTTTCCTATGGTGTTTGTCATGTTCTCGACCTCCAAAAAAGGCAACCTCAAGTTATAATTTAGTTTATAAATCATCATAAACCCATAGCATACCCATAGCATACCCATAGCTATATGGTCCTTAAACCCTGGTTCATGTAACATCTATAACTAGGGGCCCTAGGGGCCCTAGTTCATCAAGTGGCCTGTTCTCAGCCGCAGGCAACCGCAAAGCTCGGACCACTCCATGCCCAGCCTCCGACGCTTGGTGCGTGCCACCGACTGGGAGACGGTGCGCGCTAAGCTGAAGGCCGGCGGCCGGAAAATCTCCCGGGGAGCTGGGATAAAACGTCGGAAAGCCATAGGGAAACGGACAAATATGGAAAACTCTGGGAACATATGGGAACATTTCCTACAAAATGGAGGTTTCGATCTGGGAAAGATATGAACACAATATGAACCAATTCTGTAAATGGAGGAGGTTTCTAGCTGGGAACATCAGGTCATCAAACGGACGCTGGAAGACCCAACGGACCCCCGCAATGTGTTGGTCCTGCCCATTGATTATTTAAGGTACCTATGGTTTAACAATAGGTAATTAATTCTGATTCATTCTGAATTTTTGATCCTTTTCATCATCTACAAATGGGCCAGTTTCCATAGCTGAATTGGTTTATAACTCCAATTTATTTGTTGGGTTGATTGCAGTTATGGCCCTTTACCAGTTATAAGTACTTATAACGCCATTTATAACATGTATAATCCCACTTATAACCACTTATAACTAATAGCGCGGACGATTGGAGCACTCGCGCACGGCGGCAGCAGTGCGGCGAGGCCAGTCTTGAGGTGAAACAGCGGGCTGTTTTGTACACACATCAAAGATGGGCGAAAGCTCTGGTTGGGCCTCACCCACCTTCCGAGCATAGTCCACAGGCCGCTGCTGGGCATTAACTTGGGCACCAGACAAGCGCAGCTGGTGACAATTATTTTGCTGGCAGACTGATGCTGCCAGAGGAATACCACTTAGGGGACTCAACAGCTGACAAGAATCGTTTGACAAATCAAATTTCAAATTAGCAGGCCAGGGCGAGAAAAACACAAAAGCTGTGCGACCCAAGCCTGAGCCTCAAGTCGTGCAGGTCAGGTCGAAACAATGGATCTAGAAATAGGGTGTGTTACGACTTTTCCTCCATGTCTTCTTCCGCTTCGTTCATGTGGCTGTGGTGCCAACCAGCTGCCAAACTGCTAGCAATAACTCCTATGCTGAAAGTGCTGAAGTCTAGCTGGCAGCACGCCATTTCCCTTACAACTTGCATGTCCAATGCCACTCAAGCTGAGTTGCTACGACTGAATCCGGACCGGTCAGGCAATCACTGAAGCACGCGCACCACCATGACCAAAGTTTCTAAAGGAACATAGAAAGGGTAGCGATGCAAGATTGCACCTTCCAGATTTCTCGTCACAAAAAGCAGGGTCATTGGACCGGCCAGATGCTACAAAGGTTGTGATGCACAGGACCCATAGCGCAAAGCTGGAAGTCAGCAATGTGACACCATTGCAGCGAGAGTTATGATCAGAACCAACATGCCAGTAGCCACTGAATCCAGAGGCATGCCACCCAGCCAGACTTGAAAGTATCAAGGTAGCCAAGGTCAAGTGGTCGCTGATTGCCCTTGGAAACAAAGCAGTGCCCACCGCAATGGGAAACAAGACATGGCTCTGGTCAAGGTTCTGCCGTCTCAGCCGCACCTCTGGAAGGACTTGACCCATCACGGCTCACTTATAACTAATAAATGGCCATAACTGTAGGGGATTCTATCTATAGTTAACGGGATTTCTTACATCAACTTATTTCTGGGGGGCACCTTGGGGGAAATACAGACAAAATCATGGGTTCAATAAACGTTCAATGATGTATGAAACTATATGACTATATGTTCATTGGATTGGTTTAAGGGAAAATCTACAGGAAACCATGGTTTTTACCACCAAATATAGGGCTTTCCTGTAAATTTTCCCATCATCCAATTCTATGATATGTTCACCATTAATACATTCATATGCCAACTAATATAGATACCATAAAATATAAAGATAACCAGAATCAAAGCCATGTTCTTCAACCATCAATAACATATATATATATATTAAACTTCATTTCTCTAGATGCCAATGAATCATATACCAAGAAAAATGTTACAGTACTAAGATTTCTAGATACATTCTTGGTATATGATGATTTGGTATCTATGTTGGAATGAATTTTATAATCATATGCTAAGTATTTGTCACATGTATAATATTGTATAATATCATGATATGAACGCACACATAGATAATTATGTTACTATATGGTTCTCATGATACCAAATGATCCGACCTTTCCGCCATTTCGAGGCCGTGGAGGAAGGCGCTTTGGAGGAGATACGTTTGCGCTTGGTGGACGACGCCAAGCGCGTGATGATCGCCAATCAGGCCCGCCAAAAAAGCCATGGGAAAAGCTATGGGAGAGACATGAACGGCTGGGGATTTCATTTTTTGTCTCCATGTTTTTCCTCACGGAAATAAACAAGTTGTAGTGACATATTATATATATATGGAGATTATGGAGATTTTACTTGTTTTCACTGGGATTTTCGAAATTAGCTATATCTACTAGTGTCAAATCAGAGCTAAGTTGATGGCTGTGGTGACTCGCGGGGAATGGAAACGTGATGAGATGTGATGAGAAAAGGTGATGAAAAATAGTTGGAAAAAACACGTGAAACCCTAGTATAAAATTATAAATGGAAGAGAGAGAGAGAGAGAGATATATATATATATACTATGATATATGGGGATTGTGGGGTTTCACTTGGTTTGTCCGCATTGAATTCATTTGTATTGGTGTCGAGCCAGAAGTCTAAGTTTGATAAGTTTGGAAGTTGGAGCGTTGTACCAGTTTAGTGTTTATGGATAATTTACGGGCTTTGAAGGGATACATCACTGTGTGAACGCTCATCCAAGCATGGGATTGGTTCAACCATGTTCAACCCCTAAAGTCAAGAGACCTTGCTTTGGAAGGTCTTTCACCGAAGACTTGTTTTAGTGACAAAAGACATCAAAAGGTATCTTTGGCACATATATATATATATATGCAAACGGACGATTTTCTGTCCCATTGGATTGCAAACTGGCACCAGCGGTGCAGCTGCTGTGCCTCCAACAACCCAGGCGTTTTTGGACCAATTTCATGTGGGTGTGTGAAATCCACGTGTTGCAGGTGAAATCCATGTGTTTTTAATGATATTGCCAATGTTAACGTGTATGCAATACTAATGGTTTTTACAATACTAATGGTGTATGTTTTACATGATATTGCCAATACTAATTGTTTTTCCAATGTTCATGCAATATTACCTGTCTTGTATTATCTATTGAAACCTCCTTGTCTCCCTGGGTCGGGTGGCAAGGTGGCAAGGAGGGTGCAGTCCATTTCTAGTTACTGACGCCCAGTTGTAAATTGCTTTATAAATCTTAGTGTTGCCATAGCTAGTTCGATATACTCTCAGACAAGCCAGGCCCAAAAACATCAAGCTATATGAAAACAAACCAGGCCCAGAGACGGGAGCATCCCTGGGGAAACCCATTGCCATAAAGCTACCGTTTGAAGATGGTTTATAGCACCCACTTAAACATGTTGAATGTTGAATTTGGGCTTGGTTTATGGCGGTTTAGCACATCATTATATAAGTACCATGAGTATCAGAAGTGTTACATTCCATAATATGTTCCGATGTTCCTATGATGTTCCTTTTAAATGTTTAGCTTAATGCCCATATTCCATATTCCATGAGATGCCCATATTTTTGTGGATATTCCTCTGATATTCCATCAATAATGCATAGGAATATCCCATTATCATAAGTTATTCCGAAATGATGTTCACTTAAAACCTATTATTAATTACATATTCCTATGCTATTCCTATGATATTTTTAAGTTTCCTATGATATTTGTGGATATGCCTATGATATTTTTGTTGAGATCCCAAGTTTTTTCTTAACATCCACAGGTTCAGGTCTCGACCTTCAAGCCTCCGCACGGATCCTCGAGCATCAAGCTCTGCCTCCAATTCAGTGATGCTTGGCTCACAACTGGATCTGAATAGAGTGGCTGGTTGGTGGTTTGGAACATGGCTTTTATGTTCCATATATTGGGAATAATAACCCCATCTGACTAATATGTTTCAAGATGGTTAGTTTCAAACATTTTTTTTCCATAGTATATGGGCTAATCCTTTCCATTGACTTTCATATCTTTCAAGATTGTTAAAACCACCAACCAGAGAGGATTTTGTCTAAAAAACACTGCAATTTCATGGGAAGCAGGCCTGCAAGCCATGATAAACCATCTTTTCTTTTTGGGTGGTACTCTATCTTGAGACACACCCAGTTTGGCAATTTGAGCATACGTTTGGAGCAGATAAGTGTACAATGGCATGGATAGGTCAGTAGGCAGTGGACTGTTTGTTTTTCAGGGGACATCTACCGTTCAAACCTAGGACATCAGAGAGGTCAACCATGTTCACCAACAAAAATGGTCAAAACTTTGTGATTTGACCGATGAAGATGGGAGTGTTTGATCCAACATGCGATGATACCCCCACAAAATCCAAGGTCCCTTGTAACGCAGTCAAAATATACAAATGTGTGGTTCCCTTTGTTTTGAGGTTGGACCAATGTAGCGACATCAACATGCTGCTATTGTTACAGCCGAATCCAAAGATGGAATTCGTATGTCTTGCAGTGACCCGCACAATGTTTAAGCCGCCCAATGCTTGAGGATGCACCTGCCAAGTGAAGGTCCCTAGATTTTTATACGGGTCCAACTCCTTCCGTCCTTCCTTCCTGCTTCCTTCCTTCACTTGCTGCCATCACTCCCGTCTTCTTTCTGCACCGTAGAGTGAGCGCCAAACACCATATCGGTATCGGCAGCTCTGGATGCTGTGGGGCACGCCTGGGCCCGAATGCCAGAAAGAATGCCGACAGAATGTCGCAATAGATGCCAGATAGAATGCAGAAATAATGTCAAAAATAATTTGTGCAACAGAATGCCAGAAAGTATGTCGGAATAGATGTCAGATAGAATGCCAGAAACAATGTCGGATAGAATCCTGGAAAGAATGCCAGAAAGAATGTCAGACAGCATGCCGCGAAAAAAATCAGATAGAACCACACTGGAGATCACTCGAAGTAATTAAAGTAATTGCATTGTTTTTTTGGATCTTTTTGATAAATTTTGCTTCATTTGGATTGGCACCACCACACTGGAAAGACAGAAGTTGGATGACCGCCGACTTCAACGGTGGGTACCAATGCTAAGAGAAGTGATGAGAAGTGCGGCAGTATTTTGGGGATAACCCGGAGTGGATTACATGGGTTTGACATCATATCCCTACTTATCCCTGTTTGAACAATCCAGTATTCATTGGTTAAATCATGTTAAATCCCTCTTTCTAATACTTAGAATCGAACCTCTCTACAGCGCGTTTCCGAAGGCAAATGTGCGTAAGAGGTTACCCACATGAAGTACAAACTGCAGGTGTTGAGACCAATTCAAGATACAATCACTTTACTTTTGTGCGATCCCCAACGTGACGATATATCCTGACATATATTCTGACACTCTATATGACATTTTATTTGGACATAATTATATCGTCACATAGTATCTGACATATACTAATTCTTACATGTTTGTGTTGCATTTTAAACACATGGAATTTATGTGGCATTCTATTTGACATTCCATCTTACATATATTCTTGCATTTAATGTGGCATTCTATCTGACATTCTATCTTGCATTCTATCCGACATATATTCTGTCATTTTATCTGGCATACTATACTATACCATCTGGCAATTTAGTTTGTTTTCTATTTGGCATATGGTATATTATCTGGCATATAATGACAAATGACAGATTTTCAAATAATGGCCAGATTTATCTGACATTGTATCTGATATTTATTATTTGGCATTCTATCGGGCACAAGATCCGGGTCCTTAGGGGCCCAGCTGGCAAGCTCGCTGTTTGTGCGTGTGTGCGCGGGAAGTTCACTTAAAAACTAGGGACCCTCACCTGCCAGGTGGGTAAAACACATCCAAAGAATCCAATAGAATCCAGCAGTTATAGTATTTTAATGTATTTTATGGTTTATGAAATTAAAGCTGTTCACGGATTGTTTGTAAATGGTGAATATATGGTGAATGTAACAACCAAACGAGTAGGGATAACTGCCGGCAGTTGGCAGATGCTAGAGATCCCAGATGAAAAACATTTCCGGGACGCTGAATACCATGAGTATAGCCTGTGTGTGCGATATGTGCCCTGTGGTAAAACATGGCAATGGAGATTTATCAATTCATAGATGATGTTCCAGGGATTGGTAAATGTCCCATTTTGGGTATATTGGACATCACCTTATAGTAGCCATTATAGACCATATACCTCATGGTTGGGTGATGTTAATGACCCATGTGTTCCAGTTAAGATCCCCGTTTAGTGCTGGGGATTTCCCAGCCATAGATCTGCATCCCAGCCATGCATGAGGAGTTAGTCTTTGAGGAGAACAAGTGTCATCGAGAACAGCGCCTGGGAACAGGGTGAACCTTATTTGCTTTACCTCGAAGTGATTCGTAGGGCTTCTGTATTGCATAGTGGCATAGTTTAATCTCCCTTTCTCTCTATATGCAGACATTCAGTATACACTATATATATAATATGATATATATAATATGTATATAATATGTATGTACCTATCCATATTTACATACATATGTTACATATACATTAATATGATACATTAATATGTGGTACGGTTACTGTATATACAAATTCATCAGTGATTTATATGAAGACCTTCATGTATACCATGGGATTTTGGGCCGGTCATCCCCATGTTTCACCACCGGGTAAACCACCATTCGGCGGATGGATCATGCTATGGATCATCAAATAATAATCGATCCTTAAAGTACGAACAAAAGGCATCAGATGAATTTGTGGTAAAACATCATGTATTCGAAAATGTCAGTAGTACTGTACTTGGTGATATTTTGATTCGTATATTCATGATCCATCCATCAAGAATTGTTGTTTTGACACGTGGAAGCCATGACGTCAGATGTCAGAAGCGGATCCCTGGGAAAATCATGGGATATTGAGCCATTCATTTCCCTTCAAAAAGCGCTACGTTTAACCTCTGGTCAAATGTGGCTACTTATGAAATCCCCGAACTAACAACTGGAGTCTGGAGGTTTTATATCGCGAAAATCATTGGAAAATATGGAGAACATCTCTAAACATGGAGGTTTAGATATAGATGGGAAAACAATCGAACTATGGCTTTGGGAGTTTCCAGCAAACCATGTTTGATCACTCCATATGACATTAGCCATGTTTGCAGGGCAATCCCATTGTCCACTAAATGTGTAACAGATTCAGAGGTTGCACAGGTGCATCCGTGAGCTAGCATTGTTGCTGGCTTTATTTAGGGACCCCTTTTATTGAAATCCTGAGAGCCAAAATTGCCCATCAAGCTCCGTTGCTCAAGGAACTTGGCCGCAATTAATGAGTAAACGTAGCGACACGTACAGAGCACCGTCACCATCGCTGAAGCCGGTCAATGCCTGTCACGACTGACATTGACCGAAAAGAAAGAGAAATGGACGGGTGTAGCCAATATTCGTTGATGGTCTCACCCCCCTGGGGTTTTTCCTGGCCAACACACCTGTGAATCAGGAAATTGCTGTGGTGGTTGGGCAACCTCGGTTGCCCAATGTTTCCG